ACTGGGAATGTTATGAGGGAACTTTCTGGGGTGTCTCAGTACTGTACTGGCAGAAGTCAGGCCTATGTAGGTATATGAATTTGTCAATAGTCAGTGAACACAAACTTTAAGATCTGTGAATTTTTTACTGAACTACAGCATACTAAAATACTTTGTAGGAAGTGTATAATTTGTGCAAGTTTTGAAATACATGAAAAAAATAAGGATTTCTAGACAGCTCAAAAGATCGGTAGGTAAGTGTTAAGGCAACAAGAATAAAATGTTTATGGTTTAATTAAGGGAATATGTATATAGGGGTTTGCAATAAAAATCTCTATTCTGCAATATGTAGAATTTACTAATAAAAACGTTGGGAGGATAAACACTATGTATGCAATTCAAAGGAAAAATAAACTCGTATCTGTGTCTCACACTGTCTCCTGGACCACAAATTCACATTTCTCTCTTACATTTTTTGAAGGATGAAGGGTTCTGAGATTATAGATAATGGAAGAAGCACTTCACATGCTGACAGCAGCAAACAAACTGGAATGTTTCCTAGAGCAGGCTTGGACATAATTCTCATGTAGGAGGATCAACAAAGAGGCTGTTGAAAGCCTGTTGGCCTCAGTGGGAGGCTGAGGGAGCCTGATGTCTTAGAAAAGCCTCTGGAGGAGAAAAAGTGGTACTATCAAGCAGTCAACTAATAGCACATGCTGATGGGGCTGTGAGGAAAAGGAGCCCTTCTCCGCTGTTGCTGAGAGTGGAGACTGGTGCAACCATTGTGGAAATCAGTGTGAAATTTTCTCAAAATTCTACAAGAAGTCCCATTTGACTCAGCTTCTTGGTATCTTCCTGAAAGAATTAAAAGAACCACACTACAGTGACATACACACACTAATATTTATTGAGGCACAGTTTGTAATATCTAAATTTTGGAAATAGCCCAAATACCAATCAACTGATGAATGGGTTAAAAGATGTGTGTTTTTTTATACAATGGGGTACTACTTGGCCATGAAGAAGGATAAAGTTGAGACATTTATAGCTAAATGGATAGACTTTGAGACCATACTGTTTTGTTTTGTTTTGAGATCATACTCTTAAGTGAAATAAATTGGACACGTGTAAATACTGCATTGTCTCTCTGGTGTGAGAAACTGAAAGTGTAAAGAACCAAAATGCATAATAGATACCATGAAATAGGAAAAAAAGTTATTCAAAAGGAAAGGGGAGCTAAAAATGGAGGCAGAGGGGAAGGAAGGGAAAATCAAAATAAATGAGAAAAGAAGGATAAATGGAAACAAAGTTCTGTAAGGAGGGAAAAGAGGTAGAAGGGCAATGAGAAAAAAGAGGTACCAAGACATATCCGTACAAGTACACATTTCCTATGATGAATGTGATCCTTATGCACATCTATACTGGACCAATGAACTTAATAAATGAAAAAAGAAGAGCCTCTGCAGGAACTGAAGGGCCAGGCAGGGCTTACATCTGAGGGCAGCAACCCTCCTGGCCCAGATACTTTCATGAGAGGGACAACCCATTAGCGAGGGAGAAAGTTTATTCAGGAAAATGAAAGCGACACTCTTGTTTAATGTGGGTCAAGTTAGGCAGTAAGAACCGACAAGCATCCCGGTAGTTCTTTGTTTTCGAGCCATTGCTACGCAGGTAACCTGGCCTGTGGGCAAGACAATGAGTGTTTGGTGTTGTGAATGTGCTTCTATGAAATAGTGAGAGCCTCCTCAAGGCAGTGGCTGGAATACAAAGCCTTAACAGAGACAACTTGCTTTTGCCCGTCTGGTTTTGGAATTATTTAGTCAATAGCATTCAAAGACCTTTGAATCGCATGGAGATTCAGGGACTCCCTGTTTCGCTCCTGGCGCATAGTCCAAGTGCTCCTCTTGGACCTTGTGCTCCACAGCCGAGCCCCATGAGCACTGGTGGAGGAACTCTGTGTTAAGAAGGGCTTCACAGCACTTGTGCAGTGTTTACTGTTCAGTAGGCATGCTGCTGGGTACTTGTACTATGCTAGTTTACTGATATTCATAACCCGGCAAATCAGGTCTACTTACTCTTTAGGTGAACCTTATACAGAGTAAGGAGTTTCCTGGGGCTTTACGGTCAATAGGTGGGGGCAGCAGGCCAGTGACAGCACACGGCTGCCTGCCTCCAAGGTTGAGGGAGAGCCTACCAGGGAAGGGAATATGGGAGGGTGGCTGGGCTGGACTCTGTATGGTTTTGCCAAGCTCCACAAATGGACTGAACCATTGACAACAACTAGGAGGGAGAAGGACCAGAGAAAACTTTGTAAATACAACTGAAAAGCAACACAGGGACTGGGGAGATGGCTCAGTAGAATAAGTGCTTCCCTGGCAAGCACAAGGGACTGAATTCAATCCCCAGTTCTGCAATCAATCAATCAATCAATCAATCAATCAA